AGACGTGGACCTGCACAGACAATCTCCTGTCATAGGCTGTAGTATCCATTTCGAACTTCAAATATCAAATTTGAAACAATTCTGTTGAAAATTGTCCCTAAAATCATTAAAATACCGAATATCGGGAGGTACCGTCATATGGGGACTATACGAAGACGTGGACATGCTCGGACAATTTTCTGTCTTAGGCTGTAGTGTTCATTACGAACTTCAAATACCAAATTTGAAACAATTCAGGTGAATAATGTCGCTAAAATCATCAAAATGCCGAATATCGGGAGGTACCGTTATATGGGGGCTATACGAAGACGTGGAGCTGCACGCACAATTTTCTGTCATAGGCTGTAGCATCCATTTCGAACTTCAAATACCAAATTTGAAACAATTCCGGTGAATAAAGTCGCTAAAATCATCAAAATACCGAATATCGGTAGGTACTGTTACATTGGGGCTATACGAAGACGTGGACCTACATGGCCCATTTTCAATACCAAAAGTCCTGCATACATAGTATACATTTGAGTAAAATTTTATCATTCTACTTCATTTCGTTCGGAAGCTAGAGCGATTTCCACAGACTAACGGACATACGGACAGACATCGCCAAATCGACATAGAATTTTATGCTGGTTAAATGACAAACTTAATATACCCTCCATACTATGGTGGAGGGTACAAAAAACGATAATCCTTTCCATGTCGTTGAGAAACAAAAATACACTTTTAAATATCCTTTTTTTTTTTGCTTTTACTGATTTACCTATTTTTTAAAATATTAACAATTAAGCTAATGTATTTTATTGCATTTTATTTTTTATTGTTCATATTTTTATCTAAGAGAATGTTTATTTTTTTATAATCGCATGTAATGAATATTGTTAATTTTATTTCTTTCTTTGAATTATGAATATTGTTACTTTGTGTGTTTGTTTATTTTCTTTAAATTTTTATAAAAATCGTTGTTTTCATTTATTAATTAATTAATATTTTTCAACAGTTATTTACCTTGTGGTCATGGCTTCCCGTGCGAATAACAATGTATCAACCCGTCTTATTGTATACCACCGAGGAGCACGGCTGCTCCTTGACAACGTTCTATGTTCGCGTTGAACAGCATGAACCCACACTGATGATGATTAAAACGTGCAATAATGAGGTGAGTTTGAGACCTATATCAGATCTATACCTACCAACATTTAGTGTGCATATCTAAAAAAATCTACTTCCCTCCATCCTAGACACCAACAGCGATCCAAAATTAGTACCATTTAGTACTTCTTCGAACAATTTTTGTACGTATTCACAAAACCACTACCAGATCCCTAAACCAGATATCAACAGAGATCACAATATGAAATTTCGGGATTCCCGTCATATTCCTTTACGCAAAACCAAATGTAGTACTTTTCGAACACTTATAGTACGAATTCCAAAACCACCTTCATATCTCCAAAAGAGACCTCAATATCAAATTTCAGTCCTAGCCCCTCACCCAATACCAAATTTAGTACTTTTCGTACAAATATGGGATGCATTTCTAAGCCACAACCAAATCTCCAACACCCGTAATACAAACATCAATTTTGAGGATTTTGCCATTTAGTACTTGTATAATAAATTTAAGCATCCAAATATAGTACTATTTAGTATTTTTCGCACAATTAGAGTACATATTTCCCAAACCACCTCAATTTCAGATACCAACAGAGACCTCAGTATCTAAATTCAGTATTTCAGCTCCTCTCCTTCCCCTAATACCAAATTTAGTACCATTTAGTATGTTTCGTACAAAAGTAGAACGCATTTCTAAACCATCGCCAAATCTCAAACTCAGATACCATCAGTAATCCAAATATAAAATTTCAGAATTAAATCTCTATCCCTTTACTCAATACCAAATTTAGCACCATTTAGTACTTTTGGTACAATTATAGTACACATTTCCGAAACCACCTCCATATCTAAACCCCAGATACCAACAGAGACCTTAATATCAAATTTCGGGTTTCCAGCTCTATTCCTTCACCCAATGTCAAAAAAGTACTATTTAGTACTTTTAGTACAAATATAGAACTCGTTTTTAAACCACCGCAAAATCTAACTCCAGATACCAAAGAAGACTTCAATATCAAATTTCAGGATTTCAGCTCTATTCCTTCCCCTAGAACCACATTTAGTACTTTTGTACAAATACAGAACGTATTTCTAAACCATAATCAAATATCAAACACAGATAGCAACAATAATCGAAATATTAAATTTCACAATGATATCTTTATCCCTTCACCCAATACCAAATATAGTACCATTTTGTACTTTTCGTACAATTATAGCACACATTTCCGAAACCACCTCCATACCTCAATTCCAGATACGAACAGAGCCCTCAATATCAGGATTTAATCTCTATTCCATCCACTAAAACCACATTTAGTACCATTTAGTACTTTTCGTACAAATATGGATCACATTTTTAAACCATCGCCAAATCTCAAACTCAGATACCATCAGTAATCCAAATATCAAATTTCAGAATTAAATCTCTATCTCTTCTCCCAATACCAAATATAGTACCATTTAGTACTTTTCTTATAGTACTTTAGTACTATAGTATAGTACCATTTAGTACATTTCAAAAAATCACCTCCATATCTCAATTCCAGATACCAACAGAAACCACAATATCACATTTCAGGATTTCAGCTCTATCTCATCATCCAATACCAAATGAAGTACCATTTTCGTGCAACTATAGTACACATTTTCGAAACCATTTCCATATATCTAGGCAACTCATGAACCCCTGTACTAAATTTCAAATTTCAAGAACTTTCTGTTCACCCAATAAAAAATTGTACCAAATATAGTACTATTTAGTACGTTTTGAACAATTGTAGTATACATTTGTAACACCATCTCTTTATCATAAACCAACCACCAACAGAAACCCCAAAACAATTTTTCGTAACCTTAAAGTTCGAATTTCCAGAAACCCTTTGATATACCTATTCAGCCCTCCGTCAGTGACTCTCATTCCAAATTTCAGAATTCTGGTTCTTTCCTTTTATCCAACACAAAATGTTAAAGTTTTAGTACATTTTAGTACGACTTTCCCCAATGCCCGTTTTTTCAATATTTCGCCAATATATTTTTAAGATTTTCATTATTTTTATTTATTTTTCTCTTTTTTTATGTTTCAGGTCTTTGGAGCCTACTGTTCATCGCGCTGGTTTGAACGCAATGTCAAAGATGACAAAGGCCAACGACAGGCCTACTTTGGCACCGGCGAAACATTCTTATTCTCTCTCTATCCCGAAAGAGCCAAATATCCCTGGGTGGGTATTGAAAATGACAAAGATTTGGGACATGCCTCAGAATTGTTTATGGCAGCCGATTCGAAAATGATTACCATTGGTGGAGGGTAAGTTTTGAAAAATAATTTCAATTTTAAAATTCTATTAAAATTTCAATTTTTCCATTTCAGAGAGGGCCAAGCCATTTGGATGGATGAAAATATCCGTTTCGGCAAAACAGATAGCTGTAAAACCTTTAACAATCCGCCACTATGTCCGTCTGGTGATTTTGAAATACGAGTCCTTGAGGTATATGGTTTTGTAGGTGCTTAGACCTAAACTACTCCATGGAGTATTGAAACCATGCAGTCATCACCCGGCCAGGCGAGGTGATACCACCACCACCCCCACAAAAACAACACAATTTTGTGAGATATTAAACAAAATATTTTCTTCTAGTTTTTTTTTTGTGTGGACAAGAAACTAAAACAAACAAAAACCTTTAAAATCAAGGGTTTGCTTATGAATAAATCCGAAGCACAAGCCTATGCCAAGAAAATACAACACCCTGAAAAATATGATGTTGTAAGGAAAGATGATGAAGAAGAAATGCTTTGTTTTTTTATGTTCCACCATAGAAAGAATGGCTTTTGTTTTGTTTAAATTGTTTGGGTTTAAAATAGGAAGAATTATTTTTCTTTCTTAAAAAATGGCAAAACAGAAAAACTCCAATACATTTTCAATTTGTTTTGAAATTTAAACAATAAAAAAATATAGTAAGCCAGCCCGCCGAGTATTGGTAACAAAAGTCTTCTTCTTTGAATTTTTTCCCAATGAAAAAAAAAACTACTCCAATTTTTATTTGGTCTTTTGTACAAGAAATGAAACTCACACACACACATACACAACAAAATGAAATTATTTTAGAAACAATAAGCTCAAGTTGTGTTCGTAACTTTTTTTCTCTGAAAAAGAAAGAGGAGTTGCTTAAAACCTTAAATGTTTTGGTTTTATTTTCGAAAAAAAAAGAAACAAAAACACTTCTACCTACCAATCTACCTATATACCTAGCTAGCTACCCAATCCAAACCAAATTTTAGTAATTTAAAAAATACATGTTTTTGTTTTATTTTTTTTTAATTTAAAAAGCTTTAAGCTTGAATTAAAAATAAACAAAAACCAGATATCCTTGTTAGAAAAACAAAACAAAGAAAATATTTAATTATAGCAAAAAAAAAAAAAAATATTATTTAAAACAACAAATAGTTTCAACCATTTATCCATAAAGAGGAAGCCAAGAGCCTATTTCCCGAAGGCATAACGACGGTGAATGGAACTTTTTGAATCATGGGGAAGCCTTTGAAATTGATGTGAGTTATCTCCCCTTTAAATAAACAGAAAAGCATTATTAAACAATAATTACAAAAAAATGTGTTAGAAATAAATAAACAAAAGTAAATTATAAATACATATATTCTTAAAATAGAAACGAATACAATTTACGAAGAAATGATAAAAAAGAAACAAAACCAACACAGAAAAGTATTTGAGAAAATAAAAAGAAATTAATATTTAGAAAAAAAAAACAAATCTTTAATGTTGAAATATTGTGTATTAAAAAAGAGATTATAGATGAGAGCCAAAGTTAAATTGGAGAGATATGTATGTTGTATGAAGATAGAGAGAGATATAAGTGGTTTATAACAATTTAAAACCTTCCATGGTATCAAAAATAATAGATATGTCCAGAATGTATTTAAAACAAGTAAGCCAAGGCTGTAGACGTGCGGCACCAACCATGAGATAGCTTAAATCACTGGAATATATTGGAAAACTCCCGTAGGCCCTAGCCCATTTTTGTAGATTTAATAATTCCATGCTGTCCTTAAAAAAAATTCTTTTGGTTTCGGACAGGTGACATTTGCCCCACATTTACGCCCTATGTCGTGTTGATGGGCTTTCAAAACAAATTCCCACAAAAAATGTGATCCACTTAACCAGTGCCGGTCCGACCATGTTATACCCTACGACACTATAACATTTTGGAAAATTCCCTTAGGTTCAAAAACAGTTTTTTGTAGATTTTTTGAAATGCAGTTCCTCAAAAATGTTTCCCTTTTGTTTTTGACCGGTGGCATTTTCCCACATTTACGCCCTCTTTCGTGTTGATGGACTTTCAATACAAATTCCCACAAAAGATGTGCTCTACTTAACACGTGATGGGCCGACCATGTGATACCCTAGAACACTATAAAATTCCCTTAGGTCCAAAGGCATTTATGTTTTGTAGATTTCTTGAAATACAGTCCCTCAAAAATATTTCACTTTTTTTGTAGATTTCTTGAAATACAGTCCCTCAAAAATATTACCTTTTTTTGTCCGGTGACATTTCCTCCACATTTACGCCTTATGTCGTGTTGATAGGCTTTCGAAACAAATGTCCACAAGATGTGGTCCAATTAACCATTGCTGGGCCGACCATATATAATACCCTACAACGCTATAACGTTTGGAAAACAACACTGTAACATTTTGGAAAATTCCCTTAAAACTATTTTTTGTAGATTTCTTGACATACAGTCCCTCAAAAATATTACCCTTTTGTTTTTGACCGGTGGCATTTGCCCTACGTTTACGCCCTCTGTCGTGTTGATAGGCCTTCAATACAAATTAACACAACAAAATATTTTCCGGTGACCAAATAAAGTTGCTAGGCTTCTGCTCAGCCCTAAATTCTAGTCATATTCTAAATTTCGTGTTGATTGGTCTATAATTGTGACATGTAGAGCAATTGCAATATCAGGATATTTTTAGATTTTTTGTCCATTTCAACCCCTAAACTTTTGTTGTTCTTAGCCCCGAAATACATTCCTTTTCGAATGATTCATTACAGAATTGTTTCAAGGCGAATATCTGGGCGTTGAAGAACTTGCGACTCAATGAAAATATGTGTTAGATATGGATTCCATATTTGGTACCCTTGATTGTATTGCAATCTATTGTTCCACAGGGTGAATATCTGGCCGATGAAGAACCCGTCATTCAATGTAAATATGTTTTTGATATGGATTCCATATTTGCTGCCCTTGATTGCATTCCAGTCTACAGCACTGAAGGGCCCAGGCTAAAGAAAAGAGTTTTGAAATGTATTTGCCTTTTTCAAGCCTTCTGCCAAGGCTTCGGCATTGCAGGCAATCTTATAGGTAAAGAATATAATAGGTTTAAACTCGTATTGATAAGACCATATGGATACGTAGCACCTATATAGTAGTCAGAAAGGCCTTTCGAAACCGTTCGGACAAAAAACTGAGAGTTTCAAGAAAAACACCCTAAAAATATCTAAAAATGTACCTGTCCTATTAATATTTCAAAATTTTTTAGTACCCAAAAAGATTAAGTGATTTTTTTTTAATTTCAAGGGAATTCGATAAATAAAGAATATAATAGGTCGAGCCAGCATAAAAAAGACCATACACCCATAGCATCTTTAAACAATTCCGACAAAAAATGAAACCTTCAAGAAAAACACCCTAAAAATATCTAAAAAAATTACCTGGATATATTGACCCATATTCACTGTCCTCTTTTAGAACTCAAAAAGATAAAGTGTCTTTTTTTAAATTTAGATAAATAGAGAGACCTTCTCAAGATATTCTATAGAAGGATAGAGATCCTACAAGCCCTCCAAAAAGACCTTGTGTAATTTTTTAAAAAATATTATAATAAGTCCTTCTTTTGAAAAAAAAGGATCATATGCCGCTTTTTTCCATATCGAAGATCTTCTAGAGGTTCTAGAGGCTCTTTAACAGATAGAAGAACTTCGAAAGCGTCTTTATAGGCCCATTTAGATAAAAGATCTTTAAAATGTCTTCAATAAACAAAAAATCTTCTGAAGGTTTATAGATAGCAGGTCATCCAATAATGGAAGATCTGCAAAGGCCATCTACCGCCAGAAGACTTTCATAAGGTATGCTACCCTTTTAAGACCTCTGTAGAGAGCAGGCATTTTAAAGGATTTGTTTGGGTGTCTCAATCCAATCTATGCGACGGTACCATACGGAACCACCTTCCGGTCATATGTTTTTTTTCATGGAAGCAATCAGATGGTCAACATTTGGGACCTGAAACGTAAATAAAAATCGGAAGCAATCTTTAGGTCTCTCACAGTAAATATATGTACATGGTCCAATATTCATTAAATCAAATATTACAAGATGTCTATGGATCGTAAGTTCCAAATTCTCTCTTGAGAAATATTTTTCTAGATACCCAAACATCAAATTTTAATTGCAACATAAATGGTTTGTAAAAGTAGTATTTTCAATCTTAAAAAAAATATTTTAGAAAATTTTCCCTATCTCTGGGCACCTTTTTTGGTATAAAAGTGAATATGCGACCTATTTTCAAAATGTCAAGGATTTAAACCCATATCTCTCAATTAACATATGACTACGTATCTCTCCACGCAACAAAATCTTCTAGCTCTTACTTATCTCTTCTTGTTCTTTGATATTTATATAAATATTTCATTGTTTTCTGAATAATTCTATGTTATTGTACAAATCAATTCAATTGGAAAAAAATGGAAAATTTAATTTAAATCAAAATTTTGTTAACATTGAAAGAAAAATCAAGTTGTGTCTATTGTTTTATTTTTTGTTGCCTACATACATATATACCTAAACTAGCTTATACATATAAACATTGTGTATTTAATGGATATTTTTTGTTAAATTTATTATTATAAAAATTAATAAAAATAATAGTTATATAATTTATAATACAAAGTGAACACATAAAAACATAAATGCATATATTTTTTGTTTTCTCTTTTTTATTTAATTAAAATAAAAAATATTATTTTTTATTATTATTTTTTTATAAAAAGTATGTGAAACAATTTTGTTTGTTTATTTGTTTTATTTTTACAAAATTAAAAAAACGAAAAGGAAAACATACACCCTATGGACTGATTTCATTAAATTATTATTCTTATTGTTTTCTTCTTTTAATAAATAATTAAATGAGAAAAATAAATAAAAAATGCAAGAAAAAAATAATCATTCATAAATTATAAAAACATAAATAAATAAATAAATAAAAAAAAATTAAATTAAATTAAATGCTTATTTGTTTTAATAAAAGAAATATTAATCTAAATAATAAAATATTTAAATTATATAAATATATTTAATATTATTATAAACAAGAAAAACCCGAACATTGTATATATTTACATATAAAGTTAAACAGAACACACACATACATACACATTTTTGTTATACTATTATTATTATTATTATCGCTACGATTATGTTATTATTAATTACAATTTTTTTGTTTATGTTCTTATTATAATTATTATAAAATTAAATTTTATAATTATGTTTATGAAAAATGAAAAAGAAAAAAAAAACACCAACAAGAAAATGAATTACAAATAATAATTATTATTAATGGAAAAAAATACAAAAGAAAATTTTTATGTTTTTGTTTTATTTATTTTGAGATTTTGGGAAACCCAATTTTTTTTTAATTTTTTCTAGTTACCTTTCGAAAATCAATGCCAAGAATATCTTCAACCCAATCGTTGTTGGGACATTTGCTTTCATTTTTTGATTGAACGTTTCGAAACCACAAATTTTGGCCAGCTAATTCCTTCCGTGGAAATAAATATGACCGGAAGTGGTATTTTATGGTACCGTCGCACAGAATGGGTTAAGATGCCTTAAGAAATCATATAAATTGCCTGCTTTCTATATAGGCCTTGAGAAGGTTTTCGAAAGATAGAAAGCGGATCTTTTGAAGGTCTTTTTACTGTAAATGACCTTTGGAAGGTCTTCCATTGTTGGATGACCTTTACAGACTTTTAGAAGGTCTTCTGCTCTTTTATCTAAAGAGGACTTGCATCTATTAAGGAGATGTAGAAATAAGAAAATACGGAACTTTTTCAGTAAAATACCTATAAAAGATCTTCAAAATAGTGGCCGTCTTACACCTAGGGAATAACAGCAGAATATCTTCGAAAAGTACTAGACCTTATAAGTGTTATATAACTGTGGACGGTCTTTGGAATGTTTTCCATTATTAAATTAACTTTACATAGACCTTTACAGCCCTTTAAGAGGTCTTCTGCTCTTTTATATAAAGAGGACTTTCATCTATTAAAGAGATGTAGAAAGTCTTCTATTTGCGGAAGAAAAAGATATTCTTTCTAATGAGGACGTGTAAAAGACTAATAAGTCATGAAAAACATTTCTTTTCAAAAAAAAAAAGACCGTCATTTTTTTCAGTAAAAGACCTATAGAAGATCTTCAAAATAGTGAATGGCCGAAGAAGCTCTTATAGCTAGGAAATAGCAGCAGAATATCTTCGAAAAGTACTAGACCTTATAAAGCTCTTATAACTATGGAAGGCCTTTAGAAGGTTTTCCATTATTTGATAACTTTTACATGATCCTTTATCTACAGACCTTTAGAAGGTCTTCTACTTATTGAAGACCTCTCAAAGCACTTTCATATAAAGCTCTTTTGTTAAAGAGGAAGTCTTCCATTTGTAGAAGATATTCTATCTAATAGGGGTTTTT